GTGTGGTGTGGGTGTGGGCGTAGGGTGTTGGTGTGGGTGGGTGTGGTATGGGTGTGGGCGTAGGGTGTGGGTGTGGGTATGGGTGTGGGCGGGTGTGGGTGTAGGCGTAGGTGGGGTGTGGGTGTGAGGTGTGGGGTGGGTGCGGTTGTGGGTGTGACTATGGGTCTGTGTGGGTGTGAAGAAAAAAGAACGACATCGACACCCACATCCAGACCGCACCTACACCCACCCACACCCACATCCACACCCACACCCACACCCACACACCCACACCCCACACCCAAAAATGAACACTTTTCATGCATCTAAACGTAATCAACGTAGGTATTTTTACCGTAGTCCCGCCATAGAAGTGTGGGTGAAGGTGAAGTAATACTACCCACACCTACACCCTCGACACAATTTCCTATATAATTTCACGATGTCAATTCAGTGCACAATACAATATCATTCTAACAATGTACACTATTGAATGTCTGAATTTGATAGTTTATTCTTATTTCTTGACTGCAACTCGACCTCAGATATATGATAAGAATGATTTTATCGAATTCGATAGCAATATTTTTTCTCTCTTCTGTACATGTTGTTATATAATCGCCTATTAATAGCTGCAAGTAAATTGATGGCTAATATTATTAGTTACAAGATTCGAGACACCAGAGATCCGAGGCTCGCCGAGTTTCCCCGCCTCGCCTCGAGGCGAGGCGAGGCGAGGTGGCATTTTTCGCACCGAGGCGAGTACGAGTTGATTTTGTGACTCGCCGAGTCGACTCGCCTACTTACAATGTAAGTTTTGGAAAATAAATGGTAAATTTCTAACGACACCGCTCGATTTTATTGCAGATCTTTTTAAGCGTTTCTATTAGTGAAGTTTAACTAATAGCGGTAATAAATGAGTAATAGATGCGTGGACATATATTTATCTCTTCAGACTAGTCGAGCGATTTTATTCATGTAATTCCTAGTGTGAGTTTAGCAGTGGAGCTTGGCTATAGTATGATACTTCAATAATTTAGAGTATAGAATCAATTATTCATACCATTATGTGTTCGACAAACTCTTGTTCTTCTTCCAGGAACATAATCGATGTTTCACAAGAGACTTATTCAGATTCTCTCATTGTTGGTCAAATGCTATTTAATACTTCTTAAATATCGTTTAAAAAGATTTACAATTTGCTCATGCGTAAAGATAAAGCTCAAATCTTTATCGAAAATACGAAGAAACATATTGCGAGCTGCTGGAATCAATTTAGGTTTCAAGCTATTACTGATGATGAAGGTGCTGTGGAGACAAATTTACACTTCTTTGTCTTGCGTAAACCTTTCAATATCACATACAACTTAATCACGTTATTTTTGATAGTTTCGTTGACTTTGCTCTATTTATACAAAAAACTTGAATGATTTTTATTTTGTTATGTTTGGAATGACCACATATTTTTCTATCGATCTAAATAGATTATATTTTATTTTCATTTTGTTGAAATTTAGGATACATTCCGTAAACCATCCAATACAAATTATTTTCATGGAATAAGTTTCAGACCATATGTGGGGTGTTTCCGTCGAAGGCTATTATTCACTGTGCAACTGGAACTCTTTACTTTTAGCTGTAATAATAGGCCATTCTTTCTTCTATACGACTGCAGTTTTTTAATGGGATTATTCCTTGTTTTCATTAAAAATCTTCACCGGTTTGTTGAGAATTTTTTTTACGAATTCTCTTATACATTGCTTCCCACTGTTTTTCAAATAAGTTTTGGTTGTTTTAAAATTTAACTTTCATTTGTAGCTTAAAGCTGAATATACAGTGTCGATTCATATAATTTTAGGCAGATTTTAGCTCAGTCGAGGAAGTGATTTTTGGCAAAATAATATAAATTTGTTTTTCATGAATATAAAAATGTACCAAATTTTAGCATTAAAGGCTAATTTTCTACTCGACTTCGAATCAGTTCTATTCAATGCTTTTTTATATGATTAATCTGAATAGCAGTCTACCATCTAATTCAATATTGAACCATAATAACATGGATTTAACGGAAATACGTGCGTGCAAAAGTTTTGATTCAGTGATTCTTAGAATTGATCAAATTCTTCAACGAGACGTGAATAAAGTATAGCAAAAGCCACATTGATCGATAGAATGGCTCACGCTTTATCCAAATATATCAAAATTAGAAACACCTAAGGCTTTATAAAAATAGAAAAAAGGAAGCAAAGCTATGAAAAATAAGGTAAATGTACTGTATGCTTATAATTGTCATAACACTTTATAGATGAACAAACATAATCGTTGAAGTTCACCAATTAGATTTAAAAAAAAATCTGATACAATATCCTCGTCGTCTTTCAGACAAAAATAAAAATTTCTTTCATTTGTAATCGCCCAGGATCGATTAAACCAAACGAAGAGGAACATAAAAACTTTAAAAAATCTTCTTGTAGAATGAGTTTCTGTGAATACAAGGATGTTCTCGAATGTCGATGATTATGTGCTTAGATTTCTTGTTTAAGAATGTATTTCTTTGGATATTGTATAGCCTTTTCACCATTATTCAACTTTTTTTATTCTCTTTTATTTTTCCATGGAAGCAAGTATGCACAAATAAAATGATAGTGACTGCTAAGGGTAGTTGAGAAATTGCCTGAAAAGGTCATTTTTATGATAGATGCTAGGCGAGACGAGGCGAGGCGAGGCGAGTCAAAGGCTGAGAAGGCGAGGCGAGGCGGCGATGAGCAACTCGCCAGCATGGCGAGGCGGCGGCGAGTCGTTTTTTTGACTGACTCGCGGATCTCTGCAAGACACTAATGAGATACGTTTTTAAAAATATATTATTTCATAGCCATACTTTCATAGTATGACTTGATTTTATCAAATTGTCGCCTTGTCAGTATGCAAGAGACGACGAACAAAAATCAATAAATCAATAAATGACATACAGGTACGGACACATACATTGAAATGTTTTATGTCTGTCACACTTGTGATATTGGTTTTGAAAAAAAAACGAAAACAAATAATTAAATCTATAATATACGTTCAGCTAACCCTTAATTAAACTTCGATTTATTGTATATGCAATAATCTGTTTCGTGCTACTTTTGTTAAATCACTGTGCATTGAGATTATTCCGATTGACTTTGCTTGAGAACTGGAATTGATTAGAATAGCATAAATAAACTAAGAATTAGTTTTACAAAGTTTTAATAAAACTTATGATTCATCTTGTTTACAAACAAAAATAATGAATTTAAGATTAATAACAAATCCAGAACAAGAGCAATTATTTACTTAAAACAAAATTTGAACAATGATGATTTTCTAAAGTTTTTGTGTTTGTATGACGATGAACAAGCTTTTAAATTAGATTTTGATGGCTAAATAAGAATAAAACGATAAAATATCAATAATATTTGTATTACATAAAAATGACTTACTTGTTCTTCAATCCACCAATTAATAATAAACTCTGATCCATTATTAGGTAAATAATATATTCGACAGAATGAAGTACCATATGTAAGGCGTTTTATTCGTGAAACAATTAAATCTGGATCATATCGAAATATTTGTTCTTGATTAGAAAATGGACCACATGAAATAAAAGATGCATTTAATAAATGTTCAAATCCATTTATTAGACGAATCATAACATGTGTTGATGGGATATGAGATTTATATATTAGATATTTTGTACATGGAAACAGCCGAAATAATTCTTCAATAATATATTCATTATACTTATCACTAATTCTAATTGTAAGCTTTTGAATTTGTTCAAGAGAATAAGTAAACATTCGTTTTATTGCATGTTTTGTTATATCATTTTTAACAGAGAGTTCATATAAACAGGGTAGTTTTTTTGAAATTGGCATAAATTTTAGTAAATATTCTAAAGATAAAATTGATAAATGTTTAACTTGATTAAGATCGACTATGTGTAATAAATATTTTAATGGAATTGAATATTTGAGTTTTAATACATTGATATTAGTGAAATACTCCTTGCTAATTTTATCTTTTCTCACAGTAAATTCATTCACATGACTATAAAAAATCGTATTATCAGGTGCTGTTGAGTAAATAACTGATTGATAGGAAGAATCAACTTGTTCAGGAGCAAAATAAGGAATAGAAAATAGATAATCATTGTAATATGCGATAAACCAATGTTTTTCTTCAAGCCAAAATGATGTTCGAAATGAATCAAGAATTTGTTCAATAAAATTAATACATATATGTATATCGAATTTGAAATAAAATGTGACTAAAGAATTAGTTAATGCTTGCCAACGTTGTCCATCCGTTAGATCAGCATAACCTGCCAAATGCAATTCAAGATGCCTCAGATAAAAGCAATTTGACAGAAAATATTCCATATAATCCATTGAAACTGGAAAAACTATAAAACACCGAAATAGAAAGATTTTCTCAATGTCATTTCATTTTTATACTAGAATTTTCCAAAAAACAATATTACTACTTAATAAAGTCATCTGAATTATTTGACAACAATATATAGAAATATAGAAAAAACTAATTGAAAATTTTGGTATTTCTAAAATTGATCTGTTTCTGAAGAATTTCAATAATGCAAGAATAAAATGAACTAGTAAGCATGATAATTAATATAAATTCATGATCAAATGTCGAATAGATACAATCATATCAATAGATAAGTTATTGAAAGCACTTAGTTTTATAACATGATAAGTTGAAATTTGTATAAACTATTCTCCAATTTTTGCATGATTACAAAGTAGAATATGAAAAGTTAGTTCGTTTTAAGCTCAAACTCAAATATTGATGTACGTTTGAATCATTTATGATGAAATGAAGGAATAGTGTTGTCGACAACAAGAACTATTGAGCTATTTTATCCATTCGATCTCATCTATATAATAATCAAGTCATACAGGAACAGATAAGCGGAGAGTAATCGTTTTTAGTCTTGATTTATTGAAATAATACTTACAGTCAATTTGTAGATTGAGTCGAGTAAGTCGAGTTGGTAATATGATAGATTGAAAATTCATCTCTCCAAAATTAATACAAACGTCAAGTGATTTAAGTTGTGGTGCTAAATGAGTAATTGTTTCGAGTTTATCGATTGAACAACTTCCAAGTTTTAAACGTTGAAGTTTCGAAAGTTGTATCGATTCTAATACCCAACCACCATTTAAATTTAAAAACTTTAATTGAGGTAATATTTGAGCATAAGTATGAATTAACATTGAATTTATCTGTTGAAGTTTATTTCCAGAATTAAGATCCATTGGTCCATAAGTATGTCTAATTGTAGAAGCATCAAATGAAAATGAACGTAATTGATTAAGTTTTGATAGATTGTAAAAAATAAAGTCTAACGATTTAAATTCAATTTTAATTAAAGTAAGTGATTGAAGTCGAATAAATTGTTCAATTTGAAAATAAGAAAAGAATAATTCTGATTCACCAGATGTATCATCACTATCACATAATATTAATGAAATAACTTGTTCAGGTCGAATATTGCGACAAATAAGATCAAAATTATATCTTGAAATTGATTTAAAATTAAGTTTATAAGCAGAATAAGATTGTAAAATAGCATTTATATAATCACTAAGACCATAGAAATTAATTAGGATTTCATGTCCAGAGAAATAATTAAATAAAATATGTAATAATTCTGCAGGTAATAAATCAAAAAAACAACGATGATACATCATCATACACTTAGTTGAATATTCCAAATGATTTCTAAATTATAAAAGCAAGAAAATCATCAAACGAAAAATTATAGTGATTAGTTACAGGATCTAACACACAGTAATGTTGACACATTATCAGAATTTTCTTATCTTTCTTTTCCTCCACATACATCTACTCAAGCAGGATAGAGCAAAGATGATCAAAAAGGGAAGTAGAATATTGCGCACTCACCTTATTGCTCGTAATAAATTATTGTAGTTTACCTTGAAAATAAAGTGAGAATGAGTCACAACGATATTTATTTATATTCTGTATCGCTTTGACAAAAGCCAGTTAATTTGTACAGATTGACACAAAACTATTTATACATTTTCAGACGAGCCATAAATCAATAAAGGAGGACGCCTAACAATGACTAATCTCAAATGTTGGCACCGTTATCTGGTCTAGTCTGAAATGATTTACAACTCGCCTTGATATAACTAAGCGTATATCAGCCCAGAACGAGTTCACATCTTGTCATGATTAGTTCGTTTGGTCTGTTTACACTGTCTAGACTAATCAGTAAAATAAAGAAGAATAGCTGAATTGAATATCTGACTAGCGGGAACTATTGTTAATAATAGTATAAACTAGTGGAGAGCATCATTTGTATTGTTTATGACTTGTTCATTTTTTAGAAAGTAATGCCAATCCTAATAAAAAACAGTCTAAACTCTTCAAACAATGCCTTTCTACTTCGACTTTATTTTTCAGACAACTAATTTAGACTGACTCATATTGGATCTAGACAGATATGTGATATAGTGTAGTTAATTTTTGAACATTTGCATTATTTCTTTCAATATCTTTTCAATAATGTAGTGTCTTTTTTATTCATAAAAATATGAACTATGTTTAGAAAAAAACTACGTCAAAATTCCTATATCCAATAAAAAAAAATCAGTTAATATCAAAGATCTACGTAGGGTTGACCAAAAGTTCTTAGAATAATATTTAAACTTTTATAAAAAAAAATTTAATATCGACAGGTTTATTCAATGAATTCGGATGTGGGTGTGGATGTGTGTGGGTCTGGAGTGTAGGTGTCATGTCCTCATCTATGCCATTATCCAGACCCAGACCCAGACCCACACACTCCCACAACATAAGTACTATGAAAAATTTGTGCGTTAAAATTGTTCGTTAGATGGCTGATTTTCGATTATTTATAATCAAGGTTCAACATAAATGCTATCATATTTTTCATAGGAAAGAAACGATTCTCATTCACTAAGTTGAGACTTCAGATGATGTACCATATTTTGACAGTGATGATTCCAATTGACGTGACTGATGGAATTCATTTCGTACACTGTGGAACATTTCATGAGCAATACGAGTTCCTATGGTAGGATTCGTTTGCATCAAGAGGAAAAAACTGATCAAACGAACATAGTTTTCCAAGTGCAACGATCTTTTTCAATGCTTTACTTTCGCTGTCAAAATTTAAAGAATGGGGCATATAAAGGAACAAATAGTCTGTACGTTTGTATGTTTGTTGAATTATTATGGCCATGTGACGTATATTTCTTTGAGTTAAAATGTCATCGTTTACATCAAATAGTAAATCACAAAATAAATGATATACTTCATTCTCCAACATTGAATGTCAACAAAGAATGCACAATGCTGTATAGCTGACAAAAAGACTTGGAAGAAAAAAATAATCCTCACATAATTTAGTAGCCCATTCTAACGTTAGCTCATCAGTCAATCGACGACTAACATTTGAACTTCCTCCTTTTCATCAGATGAATCAACATATAGTTTGCAATGCTTCTCATGTAATTCAATGTAATCAAATAGTCAATTTTATTTACTGATATTGTTCGTTTTCTCAATTTCTTTTATATGTATATTAAGATAGAAAAGACAAGTAAAGATAAATATTCTTATACAAATCTAACGTGTTTTGTTTTTCTGTTCTGAGTTATTGATGAGTGTAAGTTTGTTCATGTTTTTATAAAGCCTTGCACAATCTTGTAACAATTATAATCAACGTCAAAATTCAAGACTCAATTTTTTTTTCATGAAGCTAGATGCGGATCTAATGTTTTGTAGCATTTAATAGAACATATGAAATACAACACTCAGACATGTACATTTTTATTAGCTCAAGAATTGGAATGTGGATGCAGATGTCATAAAAGATCACCATCCACATTCTTACTTAATTAAAAACCATTGACTCCCATTGAAATGTTTTAGAAAGTTTATTTCACAAGATCAAAAATCAAATAAGTCAATCAAATGAAATCAAATATCTGAAATACACCATTGAACATTGAAATTTGACTAAATTTTTCAATGCCACACCATTGAACTAGTCTTTCAATTAATTTTAATATCCAATGAATATTTTCATTATTTTTATTTGATCCAAATAAATAAATCCACCATCGATATATTTTTATAACATTATGAGCTAAATAATGATTGTTAACTGATGCATAATTCGATACTAAAACATTATCAATTATAATTGTGCCTGATGGTGTAAATGGTGCACAATAACCTTCTTCTATTGTTAAATAAATATTTCGAATTTTACCTAATATAATTTCATTTTTATACACATATTTTATATGATCACCTGAATGCAATTGACTAGCAAATATAGCATTGTATAATTCTGTATCATTTGCTAAGAATATGAAATGATTAGGTGATATAAATAAAGATGTTGTAATATATCTATGATCATCAATTTCTATATTTATTAATAAAAAACTAAATGAACTATTTCGTTTTAAATGAATAAAACCTTCAATAGGTTCATAAATTAATTTATTTTCTTTATTAATAACCAATACACATTCCTCAATTTCTATATTTGATAAAGGTTTCATTAAACCATTTTCAGTTACAACGGTACTGCGACCAGGATAGGGTGTGGGTGTGGGTGTGAGTGTGGGTATGGTTGTTTAACAAAAGAAGACACCCACACCCACACCCACACCCACCCACATCCACCCTCAAGAGAAGCAAATATTTTTATTCAATACCTTACAATAATCAAAAACAGCAAAACCTTTTTTCGTTACAGCATTTTTTTCCATTTTTTTATTTAAATCTCCAATATATAAACTTCGTGTTGATGTTAATGCACATGATATAAAGAAATCTAGATCATCAATCCATTTAACTTGAACAATCCAATCATTATGTAAATTACAAAAACTAATCACTGATACTGTTAAATATTCATTATTAACAATTCGTGGAAAGGAATAATTTCTTCTTGAATCTGTTTTCATATAATGTATTAAATCAGATATATGAAACATTGGTCTAAATGGATCTTTAGCTTGAAATATAAATAAATTTCCTAATGAATCTCCACAAAAAATTGCTGATTGAGAAGAATTTTTTATATTCATACGATAATCAATGGTTGTTAGATTAGCTGGAAAATGACTTATTATAATAGAACCTGTATATGTATGTGAATTTATATCATAAAAAATTAAATCACGTTCTGTTGTTGCTATACCAAAATAATTCATATCTGGTAGAACACATGTACGTTATCCATAAAGGAAGAGTTCTATATGGAAAACAAAACTAAATTAAGCAGGGATAGTTCCCAAGTTATAAATCGTTTCTAAGTGAGAAGTATTTTCAATCGAAAGGGTCTAGTGAGTAGATAAATATTTTCGAGTGATTCAAGCTGTTGAATTTTTGTTACTAAGATATCGAATATTTTAGTTATTTCTCCTTTAGGGCCACAGTTTTCAAGTGACATTATATTTCTGGATTTTGATCTGAAACTTTGCCGAAACATGGATATTTTGAAAGATTCATACCTCGAAAAGGCTTCAACAAACAATTCGGAAACTTTTTCTATAAGCTATCCTTCAGGAAAAACTCATCAAACATGCGAAATCTCCGTCTTTACCTACTCATTAGACCTTATCGATTGAAGACAGTCACCACTTGAAAGTGATTTATCACTTGGGTATCATCCTTCGTAAGATTATTTTGTATTGTTTAATTTACTGTTTTCTTTGTTCAATTGATTAAATTTTTGATTCTCATATAAGTTTTAATGATAATGACCAATGTGATACAATACCATTACGTGATATTGATATATATCGTCCATATGTATAATCAATTTGTTCAAGAGTTTTACCAGTACGTGATATTCCCGGAAAACAAATGAAACTATTCAAAAACAAAACTAAATTATTTATATTCAAATAAAAAATATTTTTTATGTACACCAATATAAAGATCAAGTGAAAGATTTTTTAATGTAAATTCTTTTGGATTATTTGGATAAGGCATTGGTTTTTTACATATCATACATTATTTCTCTTTCTTAATGTTCAAAGAAAATATATGTTAAATATTCTGAAAGATCAACTTCATCATCACAATTTGTATCTATATGAAGAATTTAATTGATCATATTTATAAGTCATTTAATATAATCTTCATCTACCTATCTAATAGAAAAAAAAATCGTGTACTTTTTTTTCTTCTGTTAACTCTTTATTTCATACTTTCATAAAAATAATTTGTGCTTCTCGATCGATTATATCAGGATATGTTCGCCGCATAAATGCAGTGAATTCACTAACATCCAAATAACCTGTATTATCAGTATTAGCTTCAGCTTCAGCAAATGATTTACGGAACTTTTCGACAAATTCAAATGTTACCCTAAAAAAACAAGTAATGAAACTTCGATGCTGGCATATTATATACTTTGAATCAACCATTTAATAGAATATTTCTTATACTGTGACATATAATACAATATCAGATCAAATTGTGCACAAGGTTGAAAGTCTAATTTTGATTGAACAAAATTAGAATTCAACTAGAGATAAATTCATATAATCACATGCTTTATTAAGTGAAAAGTGAAATGAAGAGGAAAAATAAAAATTTACAAAACATAAAGATCGTGTATTAAATAGTAAATAGAGATTCACTTTATTATAAAGAATTACAAAAAAACATATTAACTCTACATCATCACTATTAAGTTGAAGGGGAGCGGAGAGGGGGGGGGGGGGGAGGCTCCTATATTTATCCACGCCCAAAAGGGCAAAATCTCATTTAAAACGAGATGATTGTCCAAATATACATGAATATACTAAGTCTTTTGCATTTTAAAGTGTTTAGGAAAACAAGTAGATGGTTTCTCAATAAACAATAGTTATTCTACTCAGATTTTTAATTAGTTTGATTTAGTATGAATGTATGTCTATTTGAATTTCGATTTCTCACACAACATAAACATGATAGTTAAGAAACATTCATTAAAAAAAAGCTGAAAAAAGTAAAGAAAAAAGTAATTACTTATTACTATTATAGAAAATACTTCGAGTTTCTGAAATTATTTAAGCAGTTTGATCCAGATATTTTTATATACTCACATATCTTCTACTGTTCGTTCAAGAGAAGTTTCTTTAGTTGTTGATAAAAGTTCAATCAAAATCTTATCATTATTATTGATTGTATCTTTTGATGAATCATTACCATATGCATAATCCTACAGATATAGATGAATATATATTGAATCAATAGAAAATTCAAAAGCATACTTTATTTGTTTCATTTCCTAAGTGTTTAAGAAATTGGTCAACAGCATGAATAAATATTTTATTTGGTAAACGAACACCGATTTGAGCACTATGTAATGTGTTTAAAGCTTTATATGGTTTATCAGAAAAATTTTCATTTGACTATAGGAGATAGTTCAATAATAATTACAAATGATAACCAAAAAAAAGTATACCTTCACTGTCGACAGAAGGAGAACATTGTGATGTTTGAATGAATTAGTATGAGTGGCAGAAGTATTCTTTTGTGATTTCTGATTGATATTCATTTTGTTGATCCGTTTAAAAGCGCCAAATTCAAATGACTAAATTTATATTTTTAATCGATCTTTTAGCGTTTACGTAGCAGAGCAAAAAGCTAAGAAGAAATAAGAGATTTATCCTATTCTCATCTTTATCAAGAAAATAGAATACATACTTCGGCAATTGCTAATTCGAATAGGAGAGTAATCTAGAACCATTAATTGTACATAACGTTACTTTCTTGCTTTTTGCTCAGACTCATGAGCGTTGCAGATTCAACTTTATCACTATTCTGTCCCGTTTTAGTAAGCACTTTGACAACGAAAGGTTTTTTTCTCTTGAATTTAATTTTCATCACAGCATGATATCCAGAAAATTTCAGTTTTAATTCATCGAACAGTATAAGGGGCCTAAAAATATTTTTCTAGGAGAGTGGGTAACGCTGTGATTTCCAATAACATCACCAAAAGATTTCAACACTGAGTATTAAACATTACAGAAACTTTTCAGTGTTGAATTCAGAAAATTGTACACCAAATCAACATAGAAAAAATGTTTTCATGAGGCAGTTCAAACTGGATCTCATTTATGATGATGAATACTAAAAAGTAATATTTATTTCGTAAGACTTGATGAACACAACCAGTAGTGTTTTACAGCAGAAAGATGAGATTGATATGAACATAGAATAATTTCAGATAGTCCAATGTTTGTTTTCATGTTTGTCGAAACATATAAAATCTGTTTTTGTAGAATTTCTTCATCAAAACAATTGTGTTCCGCGTCTGATAGCCATTCTTGCTAGCTTCATTATTTATTATTATTCTAATTTTTTCAGATTAGATATTCAGTACTGTTTTAATATTCATCATTTTGGATAAGATCTAGTTTGAACTGCCTCACAAAAGGTATTTTTCTCTGCTGATTTGGCGTACAATTTTCTGAATTCGACACTGAAAAGTTTCTGTAATGTTTACTATTCAGTGTTAAAATTTGTTGTTGATATTATTTGAAAGCACAACCTTATCAACCTGGAAAAATATTTTTACGCACTCTGTACAACAAACATGCTTCAAGTTTATGGATGCTTTTTCACCATTGCTCTGCTCACTTATCAGTGAGCTTATATTTTGATAGAGATGTGCACTTTCAGCTTACTGAGGGTGTGGGTGTAGGTATCAATCTTTTTTTACTTAACACCCATACTCACACACACACCCACACCCACACATCCATCAAAATCCAATTCTTTAATTTATTCATTTGTCAAGATTTGTTTTATTTGTTTACACTGTTTTTCTACCAATAAAAAAGTACAGTATATGTTTTTTCATTCATGAATAACAAACCTGAAGACATACCATTTTGTCATTTATTGTTGGATAATTTGATTGTTATTATTTTAATGAATATTTATACTTGAAATGCTAACGAGTGTCCCATCATCGATGTATTCGTTTTATGTTGTGTCTCTAAAATGCTTGATAGTTGCTTTAAAATTCTATTTTGGATGTGGAATGTGGGTGTAAGTGTGCGGATATGGATTTGGACCGTCCCTACTTTTACACCCAAATCTACACCCATACCCTGCTCTATGAGGACGTGGGTGTAGATGTGGGTGTGGGTGTGAATGCGGACAGCTGTGTGAAGCTAATACATCTGTGTTCACTCATGCCTATATCCATACATCCACACACCCACATCCACACCACACCCATCCACGCCCACCTCTAACAGCTTATTAACGTGTGACACATTCTGCGTGAGAGGCCACCTCGATGACTTGCGATGCTACAACAATCAGCTCAATGGTTCACCCACTCTTCCGTATAGCTCAGGCAGCTTCTCTCCGCAACCATCTCAAGCATGACTGCATGTGTATGGATGAAAAGAAATGCCCACCTAGTGCGAACGCATGGGTAATCGCTTGCACTGGTCGGAATAATGCCGATAGTGATTCTCGTGCAATACATCAAGTGGGGAATCTGTTCCAGCGTAACTAACCTTTTTATCTCAGTGTCGCGGAGTGGGAGCGCGAGGCACCACCCTCCTCCGAAGAGCCGCGATCCATACTCGCCTCTCTGTAGACATTGATATACGCAGTGAGTATACAACTTACGATAATGATTTATATAAACTTTTTCTTTTGCTTTTATGCTATTTGAACAGGAAATTCGTTTTTTTCCATTTATATTCGAACTCAAATTAGACATCTACTCTTTCTTCTACATGGAAGTTGACTACAGGAAAGAAGCAAAACTGAAAGAAATGGTTACATGCTTCATTGCAGTGTATGCGTTTTAAGATGATGCAAGTTGCTATGAACTACCTAAAAACACTCGCATGTGCGATTCTTTCTCTCTTTCGGTGCAAAAAAATGTCCATCGAACTTCGCATAATTGTTTCTCTTTCCCTTACAATGATTACCTAGGGTGTGGGTGTTAGAGTTGTCTTGATCAACTTCATAACCACCCACACCCACACCCACACCCATGAATCGTTATCAACCCTAACAAAAACATATTGAAACAGAGAAACATTCATTCGATTTCAATAATGTACGAACACTATCTCGAGAAACCGATTGGTCACGAAGAATTATAAAAGAAAATATACTTACACATGAAACATTTGGAAAGGCACTGAACGACACGAAGCATACGTTGAAAGTCTTCGAGTAGTTAAAAGATTCAAATTGCTATTGAGATTGTTGTTATTGACGTGAGAATTCTGTTGTTATTGTCGTTGTTGTTGCTGTTGTCTTCGCTAGCTTGGAATCTAATAAATCATTCCTGATGATGTTCCCAGAGAGGAACGAAAGCTTGAATCAAATGATTTGTCATTGACTAATTTAGTACAATGCTACTCATGGCAGTTATTCGCTTCTTTCTTAAATTTATGTTTTTATATTTACACTGCTGAATTTAAGATACTTATTCTTTCCTCTTCTCTCATACTCTCTGTAATATATTCTACATATATATTGATGGATTTGCTCATTGGCAGTGTACGCGGTTCTAGCATATTTGACATTTTAATGAAAATTTTATTTTTATTCTAACGAATAACAACAACATCTGCTAGTCTGAATATTTCATATTCAGTTGGAATTGATTTATTTCAAAAATAATCTTTATTTAATTAATGATGTAAAAAGGTGCAATATTACAAGTTCGTCGTCATTTTAATTACAATCCAATATACTTTTATAAATCTGAATCATTTATGCAACCGAAAGGAATTGCGGTTTAATCATGAAACAAGACAATCAAATCGAAGTAATCCATGGAATGGTAGTTGTGAATATTTCTGTATACTTGGAAGAAGTTATCTATTTCTCAATGTCGATGTCAATCTGCTTTTCCATTAAAATCAGATTTAAAACATGTGAACGTAAGAAAAAAAGTTAATGTTTTTTGTTTTGTTTTTAGTGATGCAAGATTTTCTTTTGTTAACACGTTTATTTTCTATTCGTGTAATTGAGTTTAATCGTGATTCAAATATTGAAGCTCTGCCAGCGATTGTACCTGATCAAAGTACTATTATATCAGATCCTGTATTTAATTATGAAGAAAAATTTGGATATTTTTATTTTCAAAGAACTCAAATGATTTGTTCATCTAAAATGGATAGTGATAGTAAGTTACAGAGCCCCAACCAGGCCACTAGGCCTGCCTGCCTGCCTGGGCCTGCCTGCCTGTGACAGGCACAGGCCACAGTTTTTAGGCCTGGTCTGTGACAGGCAGGCCAGGCCGACCCCTTCACCAGGCCCGGCAGGCCGCTTAAAAATGCCAGGCCGCCTGGCCTGTCTACTTTTTTCTTCGATATGAAAAAATTATCGCATGAATTGAATTTAATTCGAGAAAACAAATTTAGTTGAGTAGTTTTGAAGGATGACATTTAAATATGACGAATTAGATAAATGCTTGAAAATAAATATTGAAGATAGATATAAACAATGAAATCTATTATCAATATGAGAAGGTTCTCAGCACAAAAGAGAACCACATTAGTCGATGAAAACTTCTCATGGAAAGACTTTGTTAAGCAAAGTTATTAAACAAGAGTGTCGAAAGTGATCGCTGGTAGAATTCGCTCTGTTGCAACTCTTTACACTGTACTTAGATCGTTTGAAATAATCAATAAGTGTATTATGTCCAACTGTTGATCATAATCAGATCTATTTAACTATCAGTATGTTAGCGGATTAAACTAACTTTCATATTGTTTGATAAGGATTTTCAAGCGCTCCGAAATGTTAAGTAAACATCAGAGAAAAACTGAATGATCAGTAAAAACACCTGAGGAAAACATTTCTCTAGGCATGATTTGAGTGCCTTTGACTGATATTTCGTAGATTTCAATCAGAAGTACAGTTTGGATAGAAACTAAAAGCATTCTGGGAACCAGCATTTAACATTAAGCAGACTAATGAAAATTTTAAATCTTTTTATTGACCTTCTATCATCGAAAAAAAATACCTCAGTCCCTATCAAGATTAAGTCAAAATGTGAATCGCATCGAAAAGTAGTTTCACTAATGGAAAAGAATTTCTAAGACTGCACAATGACACTAGAACAAAAAGTAGCGTTTGCGTAAGCCATAAAAAACACGCTTAACAAGATTCATTTTTTTGACTTAATCCGGAGGAGACTGGGTGACTTTTCAATGATAAAAGGTCGATAAAAATATTCAAAATTGACATAAGTCTACTCAATGTTAAATACTGATTAATAAAATGATGTTAGTTTTTACCCAAGTTGTACTTCTGATTGAAATCTACCAAAAACCAGTCAAGACCACTGAAAGTCATATCTGAAGAAGTATCTTTTCGACGTTTTGTCAGTGCTGAGTGTTTTTTTTTCTTCGATGTTTTCTTATCATTTCAGAGTGCTTAAAAATCACTGTCAAACTGTTTGAAAACTAGCTTGATCGATCACTCTAACGATAGTTAAATAGACCTAATTATTATCGACGGTGAGATATTGTATGTTTATGAACGATTTCAAACCATTTGAGTACAGTGTTAATGCATACATTAGGGCTAATTCTGCCAGTGACAACTTTCGAAATCTTCGTGTCATAGTTATGCACAGAAAAAAAAGTAAAATCTTACTAGGGAGTCTTTTTCCTCACATGTCGAACCATCTTTTCCACGTTTACCATTACTTGCTCTGGGTCAGTTTCTAAACTCGAGTTAATTTAGCTGAGGTTGAACGGTCTAGTTTTGTTTTAGATTTATTAGTCACTGCACGTGGCTTCTCTCTCGCTTATAATGCTATGAGTGACATTTGTCTGTCAGATTTTGCGAAAATATTTTTGAAGAAAAAACAGGTTGTTTTTCTCAATATTAATGTGTGTCTGTTTCTTTATTTTCCTCAACACTTACATTTTTCACTTCATATTAAATGTAGAGTAAAGCTTTACACCATCAACGTCTCCGCAATGTGAACATCTCATTATAGTGAATAATCTGGCTTCGCGCTGTGCAATTTTTGTTCGAAGCCAATCATTTCAGAGTGAAAGCCTCCTGGTAATGAAATATGAATGTTTTTTTTCCTGACTTCAAACGAATAGAAAGAAGTTTCCTGTGGTCAACTTTATTTTGTTCTACTCTTTTTTCCTATATTCTCTGCTGCACAGATAAGAGAGAATCACCTATGTATAGTGAACATTTTAAAATATTTTCTTGAACGTTCACATCAGAAAATTTTTACTTGTGTCATCTAAACTGATTCCATTGACTTGTTGG